TTTTGTTTTTCTTTTTGTCTTTTTGAAACAGGGCCTCACTATGCAGTTCAGGCTGGCCTTGAGCTCACTTTGTAGCACAGGCTGGCCTCAAACTCACAACAATCCTTCTGCCTCAGCCTCTCTAGTGCTGGGATTACAAGCATGCGCCAGCACACCTGGTGATTTTAATTTTCGTAATGAAGCTTTATGGGTTATCTTGTTTCCCTTGCATGTGCTGAGACTATTGAAACATGATCCAAAATAAACCTCTCCCTCCTTAAATTGTGGGTGTTGGGTATTTTGTCCAGCGAGGAGGAAAAAAGTGACCAAGACAGTAGATACAATCAGGAAAAAAGTGACCAAGACAGTAGATACAATCATTTTCTAAGTAAAATGTTGAAGAAAGGAAAACGCAGGGGCTGGGGATGTCGCTCAGCAGTAGAGCACTTGCCTAACAGGCATGAAGCCCTGAGTTCCACCCCCAGCACCGCAAGGAGAAACCCCTGGGTGTGGTGTGCAGGTGCCGCCGGCACCTCCCTTCCTTTCCCAGCACCTAGGCTTGTTTTTGTTATGTGATGCGTGTGGGCTGATTAACTGTTCTCAGGTGAGGTGTATCTGGTCACTTTCCAATTTCCCCCTCCAGTGAGCATGTTTTAATGGACATCACAAAAAAGATAGTGTTTCCTGGGTTCACACTGCAGTGAAAGTGCTGGAATCTGTCCTTTCTGTCTGTGGCCATGCACAAGATTGAAGGAGGAGCTCCTTCCCAAGTGCTGCAGTGCCAGGGCTGGCAGAGCCGGGTACTTTGGGAACTTGTGCATTCTTCAAAGCTACCCTCGGGAGGTGACCCTTTGATCCCTTCTATTTTTACAGATGAAGATTGAGTTAAGAGGTAAAGCCACTGGCCCAAAGTCACATAGGTAAGACACGCAGTGTCCAGATTTGTGCAAAAGCTGCTGCTGCTGCTGCTGTTGCTGTTGTTGGACAGGTTTTTTTGCTTTGTTTTGTTTCGTACCAGGAATCAAACTTATGACTTCATGCTTGCCAGGCAGGCGCTGTGCCACTGAGCTATACTCCCAGCCCTTGAGACAGGTTTTTTACTATGTAGCTCATGCTGCTCCTGAACTCATCATGTAGCCCAAGCTGGTTCAGAACTCATGATCTTCTTGCCTCAGTCTCTTGAGTGGTGGGATTTCCAGTGTGCATCACCACACCCAGAGTTTGACTACCTGACTCCTGCTCTTCCATGGTGTCCATCTCCCACAGAGAAAGTGTGTGTGTGTGTGTGTGTGTGTGTGTGTCTATACGCGCACACACGGTTGCTGGAACTCGGGGCCTCCTGCTTACAAGCACATGCTCCACCACTGATCCACACTCCCAGCCTCAATATATTTTAAACAAAGCACTGGGTGAACATGGGAAGACAGTTACACCCTAGCACGTTGGTTAGTGCCTGTAACTCCCCCGGGAGGCTGAGTGAAGCTGAGGGAGGATGATCAATCACAGGTTCAAGTTCCCTCTAGGCAAATTAGAAAGACCCCGTTTTACACAGCACCTGCCTGGCAAGCATGTGGCCCTGAGTTCGATTCTCAGTAAAAAAAAAAAAAAAAAAAGAAGACCCTGCTTTAAAATAAAAAATAAAGCCAGGCGTGGTGGTGGATGGCGGTAATCTCAGCACTTGGGAGGCTGAGCCATCGCTTTTGATGCCAGCC